CAGATTAAAAGATAGTGAATTATTTATCTATTATATATATCATTCCAATAACTTGTATATAGACTCGTATTGCACTATTCCACATTTTCTTTCTCACTTTTTTAAAAACTATTTTAATATAGTATATTTTAATATTGTTTTAATATTGTCTTCTTACAGTATCTGTAGTATTGTGTTGCATTGTTGGAGAAGCCTGTGACCTAAGATTTTCAACGACATAATCACTCTGTAGCTATGTTAGTTTGACAATAAACCTTGAACCTTGAAATAATACAATCAACGTATCTGAACATTGTAGGTTAATGGTTAAATACAGTAATCACAACAGCATAATCAATGTTTTGATTGTTAATCAATACATTTGAGACCCTTAAAACCTTTGTGTCCTTGGTTCAATACTCCTCACTGATTTAACAAATGAGACAGGGCAGGTTTAGTTTCTCAGTATCTAATTGACGCTCTTCTCCTAACCCTAAGGTTCTAATCCAAAAAAATCTTTAACATTTAAAAGCCATTTATTTGACACAGGGTGGAAACAAAAGATACAGCAGAGTGTATTTTGTCTTCATACTGTAGGTCAGTGTCAGTTAAATTACTGTAACCACAGTGCTAACTACTGTTACTACTCTTAAGAAGCTTTTTGTGATAAAAGCAGAGTCACTTGATACGTGACTGACAGATTCCCCGAGTGAAAATGGTCGGCCTTTTTTATTTACATTCACTGCTTAAGGCTCAATGTCAGTAGCCGAGGTTATTCTGCTGCATTAGCAGAATAGGAAGAGTGTCTGCCAGCTCTTCAGCTTTCATTAAAAGTAAACCTTTTAAGCCAAGAGCTGCTGCCTGCCCAGACCCCCCTGACAATAATGTAGTAACTGTTCGCCCGCCAAACTATCAAACTATTTTATATTCCACACCTGCTAGGCATTACACACAGTGGTCCAACCTGGCAATGCAAACACAACAGAACAGCCTTTGTTGGGGCCTCAGGACCATTAGGCAGGGTGGGTACAGCTCAAAAGTGTTCAAGAAACAATTTATCAGAAGGAGATAGACACACTACAGGGCTTTGTGCTCCCTGTGACACCATGCTCTAACGGCAGGCATTTCCTGCCCTGAGAAGGCTTTACAACATTTAGGGAGAGGTATTTTAATTGGAACCACAGCCTGACAGTGGCCTCAATGGAGAAACATGGAAAAGCTGCAGCGAGGGAGGCTGACACTGATCTATCATAAAGCCCAAAGAGGGTGGGCTCCATTTATAAAGTCATTTATTACAACTGTTTCAAATGTGTTGTGTTGTTTATCGTGTTAATGTGTTCATCCATTAAGTTCATTAATGAGTATTTTATTTTAAGCATATATACAACGTCTGTTTCATGTGAGGACAGCACAGTAGGATTCCCATTAGGTTTTTTTTCTTGACAATTTCTGCCGACTGGTTAGACATCAAAGACAGATGTGATGAATGGCATGATTCCCAATTCTTTGGCGCAGCTACAGCCGGCAAGAACTCGCACATTCTGCTATACAAACACACATTCATGTTGATCTGTCCCCGTTTCCTTTGTATTTTAACATTTTGTGGTGGTTTGGACTTTCAAACCATCAGTTCTGACAAACCAAACAGATTACTAAGACTTTTAATAAACACCCACAATTCATCTTATCCTTCAAAACTACAAAACAGATTTAAAATAGCATTAGCATATGTTGATGTTAATTACTGAGCTTAAACTGTTGTATTTTTTACTTTTCAGTGAGTAGTCTCCATACATGTTAACATGTTTTTCTTTAAAATATGATTTGAGTGTATTGATTCTGACATACTGTATGTAGTCATCAAACATGGAGAAGAACAGCATTACGACAGGGGACGTCATTTGCTATGGAGTTACATGAAAACCATTTTTTTGTTCACTTTATCTGTAACCTGTTAAACCCCTCTTGTCTACAGCTGTGGGAGACCATACATCAGACTGAGCCATGGGGAGGGGTCTTTAGACAAGGGAGACAGGATACCACGGTCAGGTATGCTCTCAGTCTTCTTCCTTACTATTTGTTGAGTGTTTGTTGGCATACGTACTACGACAGTGTATTTGACTTCTTCTTTTTTTGTATATATATAGACAGATCGGAAATGGTGCAGAAACAGAAAGAGGGGTGGGGAATTATATACAACAAAGGTCCCTACAAAATAATTGTAGAGTTGTTGTAACTCCCTCTTTCTGTGCCAGTTACAATGTGCTGTACATAATACATAAGAAATATTCAAAACAGCAAAAATACAAATTATTTCTACAAAAAAAAAAAATGTCTGTCTTAATTAATAACTTCTGTATTTGTAGTGGTGTGACAGGAAAAGTACAAGCTATATAACCAATTTAAATTATGTCTTTATATATTTATATTATGATCATTTTCTTTATTCAAATCAATTAATTTCAAGATAATTATAATTTTTTATTTTACGAAGAACATCAAATTTCGGTTTCAGTCACTTAAAATTCAATATTATATTATGTGCACTAGTATTCAACAACCAATACATTTTAAGATCCACCATTGTAAATACATAAATACCAGTCTTTCTGATGATACATACTCAGACCACTGTATAAAGCACTGTTGCCAGCAGATACTCTGTTACACATGCTTTGAGTTAGAGGCCTGCAATCACTGAAATGCATCATTGATAATGAATAGGAGCCCTCACCATCTCTCAGACTTGCAGAAAGCATATAGAACAAAGGGGGATAAGAGGAAGTGGATATACCAGAGAATTAAATTAAACACCCTTAAAAGACTGATGTTGTGTATCAGTCTATCTGCTTTCCCTTGGGCCACAGTGTGACATCTCTTTGTTTTTTATCTTTCTCTAGCAGAGGACCCAATGGTGGCGTCATCAGACTATGACAGCACCCACGAAGCCAACCACAGTGACAGCAGTGATGTAGCACACACAGAGGAGGATGCAGAAGAAGGAAAGAACCCTGCGCAAAACGTCATCCTCCTCCCACTAATACCTCCAGAGGTGAGGCCAGGCTAAATGACTTCCCATACAATATAACTCTGCTAATGAAACTCGAGAAAGATAAAACGTATTATCATTGAATTCATTTGTCTTACTGCTTTTCATCTTGTGGCCCAGGACAAACCAATTCTGGCTCCAGAACCATTAGTAATGGAGGACTTGGAGCCATTGATGAGTCAGCTAAATAATTGGAACTTCCCCATCTTCACTTTGATGGAGAAGACCAACGGGAAATGTGGACGGATCCTCAGTCAGGTGAGCACATCTAAGAGCAACAACGATAAAGCTCAGAGGTCGGCCAGAGTGTCAATAAAACAGTTTAATATTTGCATAATGATGATGATAGCTTGAAAGTAATAAAAAGTGAGGAGATACAAAGTGACTTTTTTGCATTCATAAATGAATAGACTTGTTATGCACAGCACCAACATTTTAATATTTACTGATTACAATTTCCTCCTTTATTTCCTTTTTTTGTATGATTTTACCCCTTATAAATGTAATTTGTGCATCACCCACGTCTGATGATGTTCACAGACAATTAAATGTTCCTGTTTCAGGTCTCGTACAGGCTCTTCGAAGACACCGGCCTGTTTGCAACCTTCAAGATCCCAGTAAAAGAATTCATGAACTACTTCCATGCCCTTGAGAATGGTTACAGAGACATACCATGTAAGCTTTAAAATCTCTCTGGTCATGTTTTTACTCTTCCTTCAGCTTATTGTTACTGCAGCTGCAACACTTGAGTGCAGCCACTAGAGGGAAATGTCATACCATCAAACATATACGACTGTGTTCAGCCTTTATGGAGTTACATAAGCAACCTCACTGTGCACCCTGGTGGAGAACATGACACACAATGAACTGACTTGTATTTCCTGACCCAGATCACAACAGAATCCACGCCACAGATGTGCTTCATGCAGTCTGGTACCTCACGACGCAGCCTGTCCCCGGCCTGCCGAGCCTCATCACTGACCATGGATCAGCCAGTGACTCAGGTGTGTCCATGGTTACATACATTCATTTGTCCTGGTGGGGGTGCTGGTGTGTATGTGAATATATCAGTTCACACTGATGGAAAATGTCACATAGGAACACATGAGCTCTCAATGCCCTTTTATTAGTTTTTTCTAAACTTTTGTTAAGCCATCTAATACCATACAAATCTGTTTATATCCAGGCCAGGCTTTTTTATTTAGATTTTTCCATCTGCCTGCAGCTTTTCCGTGAGCCATCTTATTTATGTCTGGGCATCAAACCTTGAGGAGTGTGTGTTCTTATCCTTCTCACAGTTTGTCTTATCTTACTCAGGCTTTTGGCATTTATGTATCACAAACTATTTGAAGTCTAGAACAGCATGAAATTGCAGGCAGATTAGAGTTCCTTCTCACCCATATTTCCATAACCTCATTTGTATGCCTTACTAGGGCATCCCTTTGATCCACATATAAGTGGATTTGAAGTGTGTGTCTGTGCTCCAGATTGTGTGCGTGTGTGGTAAGGCACATGAAAGTGCAGTTGTGTTTGTGTAAATTCTTCCACACTGCTCTTCACCGTCCTCCCTTTGTCTGTTCCCCCGCGGCTAGACTCCGACAGTGGAATAACACACAGTCATATGGGCTTCCTGGTTTCAAAGACCTACACTGTGTCAGAAGATGGTTACGGATGCCTGTCCGGCCTCATACCAGCTCTGGAGCTCATGGCCCTTTACGTGGCTGCCGCAATGCACGACTACGACCACCCTGGGCGGACCAACGCTTTCCTTGTGGCCACCAGCGCCCCACAGGTACTCGTGCGCACCCTATTGTAGAAAACAGATTTATCAAAGACAGTAGAAGTTAATTTGCTTGATTTACTGTTATATTCAGTTCTTCTTTGTAATCAACAAGATGATTATTTCATTGGCCGTTTTTCCTCCACTTTGACTATAGTTCACCGCCAAAATGCACTGGCAACGCTGAGGCAAATCATCTTTGTCAGCATAATCAAACCATCACCAGTTACAGTAGCTGCTCATTGTTTGTCAGAAATTGACGGGTGCTGTGGTTGTGTTTGTGACGTTATGTTTATATCTATTATTGAGTAGTTTATAGGATATCTGTCTAGACATATCACCCAAAAAAAAAGCTGTCATAAAATCAAAGAAAGAAAAATTGCTCTTTCTATCCACCCATCCATCTATATAGCACAGTGGCTATAATGTTCTTGAACATGGTACAAGCGTGATGTGTTTAAATTCTTGTGTTGTATTCAATGTCAAGTTACATTCTAGCAACATTTAAATAATCGGGATCATCAAGTCTCTCTTTGTTAGTAATATATGTGCAGGATTGCTGGATTCAAATAAAGGAACTTCTATACTAGTCAATGCTTATGTAAAGTGCTTGTGTGTTTGCAGGCAGTGCTCTACAATGATCGATCGGTTCTGGAAAACCACCACGCAGCCTCAGCCTGGAACCTCTTTATGTCGCGGCCAGAGTTCAACTTCCTCGTCAACCTGGACCATGGGGAGTTCAAGCGTTTCCGTTTCCTGGTCATTGAGGCCATATTGGCCACTGATCTAAAGAAACATTTCGACTTCCTAGCTGAGTTCAATGCCAAGGTAGATCTAAAAACACAATTGTTTGACATTAAGTACTGAAAAGATGTGACTTTCTGGTGTGAATAGTTTACAGGTTTGGTTGATAAAATCACTGGAAAATGTTCATTTTGACAACATCATACATTTAAAAACTTCTCATTTAGTTGATTTGGCCTCTAATAAGTACTTTAGGGATTATACAGTAGTTTTAAGCCAACACTGGGTCTTCATACCTAATAGTATAAAGTGAATTATTGACGTTGAATATTTATTTTATTTTATTTTTCTTGGAAACAAGATTTGATTGCATAACGAATTGTCATGTAGCTTCACATGGCAGCAGTATTCTCTAGTTGAGTCAAATGTATCCTTTAGAGGGGCTTGCCATACATTCATACCTCAACTATTTTACTAAAAGATAAACGTTATTGAAGGGGAAATATCAAGCGGTTTTCAAAGAACAAGTCTGTTTGTGCAGAACATTTCAGCAGTTCCAGTATGTTCAGCTGACGTCAACAACACAAAGCGCCTTGCAGCTTTTTCAAGAACTCATTTAAGTGGAGACAGAATGTTGGCTTTGGATGAGGGATTTAGGTTTTTCCATTGTGAGCATTAGTACAGTTGTGGTGCTCGATGTCCAGGACCTGCCAGACAGCATTGAGTCTCCGGGCTTGGCAGCCAAAGTACCAGCGATGTCTCTCTCATTGTTGTGCACCCCACTCTGCTCTTCCTAGAAGCAAATTAGCTTTCTGTGAAGTACTAAGTTTCATACTTGATCTCTTTAGCTACTGGATTATTAGGTTAGATAAGACTCTGGGAGTCCGGGCTGCTCCTTCTCCAGATCTGAAGCTCATTAAAGATAACTACAGATAACAAATTGATTCAAACCTTGTTAAGATAAATGCAAGCTTTAACTTCATGTGTGCGAGCGTGCCACATCGGTAGAGTTGATAATAAGAGATTTCACTGATTCAATTCAGAGAAATTCATCATTAATAATATCTCATACACATAGGAACTGGTCATAACCTATATAAACAGTCTATGGTCTTGATATTTTTATAGCATAGTAATTAAAACCTCTACCGTTTTGGATTAAGCGGATTAAAAGAAAGTATGCACATATTATAGTCCTTATTGCTTTTGTCTTTTAAATTGTATTTCAGTGCTGTTGTATGTCTTCTCCCTGATTGATAAACCCTCCAGACATTACTATGAATACACAATCTTTGAACAACAGATAAATGGCATCACATTTACATAACATCTGTACATCAAATGCTTCGTCTGCCTACACATTTGAATTTGTGACATGTCAACATGTCTGTTTTGTGATCCCTTAGGTGGGTGATGATCCCTCCACGGGTATTGACTGGTCTAATGAGAATGACAGGCTGCTGGTGTGCCAGATGTGCATCAAACTGGCCGACATCAACGGGCCTCTGAAGTGCAAGGAGCTGCATCTGCAGTGGACGGAGGGCATCGTCAACGAATTCTACGAACAGGTGTGTGAAACGTCTCTGATGGGGACCCAATGTATTTGGTAAACTAAAGATCAATGCCCTGTCATGTTTAGGTGCAGGGGGAAACACAACAAAGCAAACACCTGCACAGTATACTGTTACACATGATCAATAACAGTACTCCTACAACACTCAAATATATAAGAGTTTATTTTTAGTCCATCCCGCAAACAACACACCTTCCTCCTGCTGTAAATACTGACTAACCCATGTGTCATAGCCCACAACTCAAAATATGTCGAACAAATAAACAATGTTCTCCTCCTATTTCAAACAAATGAGCCTAATACTAAGCTATTGTAGTCAAAACATATTTACGGTTATATAAAAGAGTAAAACATATGTATCATATAGGGAGGCTTACACTTAACATTCCGACTTTAAACATAATTGGAACTTAGAACCCTAAAGCCAACCTCTGAACCTTCATCTTAATTAGATCCTTAATGAGAACCAAACAGAACATCCTTATTCAGATCACATCATTCTTCAGACCTAAATCTAACTGGTGACAAACACAAACATATTTACACAGCTGGTAAATGTATTTAGACTGTTTGAATGTATCATATCGTTTTTCTCTTGGAGCAGAGGAGCAGAACTGCATTTTTGACAAATGTCAAATGTTTCAAATACCATTTAAAGTTTTACAGACAACTTAATTGTTCTTTCTCAAACTCCATAGAAGACAGTAAAAACTGAAACACCTCCTCTATATTTTTTTCTTCCTCCCTGTAGACTTTTGGCTTCAGGCGTTTTCTTTTCATTCAATCTTTTTGATGTATTAAGATATTAATGGCAGAGCTCCTCCCGAGAGCTGCTATTGTGTGAGGAGCTGTCATGAATTCATGATGAAATGTATGCATCTGTTCATTATGTATTCTTTTATGTATACTTTTGGTTTATGAATTTCCACGTTACTTACATGAGCCATGCAGTGGTTAAATAGGAAAGGAGTCTTAGTTTTGGCTGTAAGAATGGGTTCACATGGACGCTTTGTATGTCTGACTTTGCTGTCAGTGAATAAGGTGTTCCCTCATTTTACTACTACAATAACATAAAGTAAGATATGGCCACAGTATTTCATACACCTGTCCAATCTATATAAATTCAACACAACAGGTCTGCTATAAATTCTATGTAAAAAAAATTCAAAATCTTTTGACACTGCCGGAGATGTTCACCAAATTCATTTAAACATTCATTATTGGGGTCAACGTTAAAGCTAGAGTTGTTCTGGACTATATTAAAATTAATAAGAAGAATCCACTTCAAGACACTGGTACTTGCGTACCATGCTGTGAATGGATCTGGCCCTTCCTACATCCAGGACATGGTTAAACCGTACACCCCAGCACGTGCACTCCGCTCTGCATCAGCCAAACAGCTCGCTGCACCCGCACTGCGAGGGGGACCCAAGTTCCCATCAGCAAAAACACGTGGGTTTGCTATCCTGGCTCCAAAATGGTGGAATGAGCTCCCCATTGAAATCAGGACAGCAGAAAGCTTACACATGTTCCGGCGCAGACTGAAAACTCATCTCTTTCGACTCCACTTCGAGCGATAAAATGACTAACACAGCACTTATATACTAATAAAGGACTGACTTATCTAAAGCGAGTTGAGTAGCACTTGAAATGTTTGGCTCTATGAAACCTGATGTACTTATATGATTCTGTTTTCTTCAAGTTTGTATTTTGTTGGTCGAACGCACTTATTGTAAGTTGCTTTGGATAAAAGTGTCAGCTAAATGCAATGTAATGTAATGTAATAAGAAGTCATATTTACATACATAAGGGGGGCTGAATATTAGAAACACCTCCGAAGATTATTCGGTGCAGAACAACACAACCACTTACAATGACTACAATGCTAAAAGGTGTTATTGAATTAACAGCTCTTTGAATAAATACTTATACAGGCATGTTAAAATAAGGCTTTATGGCAAAATGGCTGCCTTGGATTGCCTTACATTGTACATTGTGTACCCAATGAAGTTGCCATAGTGTACAGTGCTTATATAATTACCTGATAGTTATCCGTTCAGCCTAATGCCGCCCTCAATGACCTCCGATACACTTTGTCCTCTTGATTCTGAATACTTGCTAATTTCTCCTAATGGCCTTTGAGTCTAGCTAGGGCCATTTTGTGCCACGCTACTTCATATGGGACAAACAGGACAAACAGATTGTAGGAGCCTTGCAGGAGAAACGCTCTTCATTGACAATAGTTGTAGGGCTGCTATGTGTAGTGACACAGGCAGGCTGCCCAGGCAACTGTCCTTCAGGTGGAGCAGTGTCCTGATTACTCTGACAGCCTTAAGAGTCCAGCTAACCTTCAGAAAACCAGCAAAACAATTAAGCTCCCCCTCAATATAGAACTTGTTAAGGCTTGTATACAAAGCATCATCATACACAAACACTTGGTCGTCAAGCACGACAAAAACATGTTGACGGAGCCTTGAGGATAAGATTTGTTTTCCAGGCTTTCTGAAATTGATTATGATGTGTGACCTAGGATCTGGGTATCTTGAATCTAGATCGCAATATTGGATGAATCTCTGGGCTTACAGAGGCTTACTCTTATATATATATATATATATATACACTGAACAAAAATATAAATGCAACACTTTTTGTTTTTGCTCCTATTTTTCATGAGATGAACTCAAAGATCTAAAACATTTTCTATATACACAAAATAACCATTTCTCTCAAATATTGTTCACAAATCTGAAAAGATCTGTGATAGTGAGCACTTCTCCTTTGCCGAGATAATCCATCCCACCTCACAGGTGTGGCATATCAAGATGCTGATTAGACAGCATGATTATTGCACAGGTGTGCCTTAGGCTGGCCACAATAAAAGGCCACTCTGAAACGTGCAGTTTTACTTTATTGGGGGGGTCTGGGGGGGTCCGAAAACCCTAGGGTTAAACCCTAACCCTAACATGTCACCCATCTCCTTCGCATAGAGTTGATCAGGTTGTTGATTGTGGCCTGTGGAATGTTGGTCCACTCCTCTTCAATGGCTGTGCGAAGTTGCTGGATATTGGCAGGAACTGGAACACGCTGTCGTATACGCCGATCCAGAGCATCCCAAACATGCTCAATGGGTGACATGTTAGGTTTAGGGTTAGGGTTTAACCCTTGGGTTTTTTTTTTTTTTTTTTATAGTGTATACAATTTTCGGGTTTAATTTTAGTCGTTTGTTTGTCTGTTAGTGTCGTAATGTTCGGGTCTAACTCTCCTACCCCCCCCTAAAACCACACTTGCACCAACTCCAGATCCCCGTCAGAGACTGCCACACCCTCACTCCAAGCTCTCCACATTCCTAACCTGACCCACTCCACTCGCTCGCTTCGCTCATCGTTTCCTCCACTCATCCCCTCTACGTGTCGCCAAAACAAAAACGCCCGGCGTAAAAAAGTACTCTGACTCAGCCCAGTTTCTAGCCATCTCTGATAAGCATGTATGTGTTTTTTGGTAAAGACGCAGTCTTCATCAACCACACGCTGCTTTACGACTTTTGTCCAGACACTATCACTCCTCAGCAGGAACGGACTCTATCCCTAAGTCCGGGCCTGCCAGTGCTCCAACGTACTAGCTTCTACGACCCTCCACTCCGTCGGTCACCCCAACTACTTTGTCCCACCACCCGCGAATCCCGCCGACCCCCGCGTGTTCCCTTCACCCCTCCGGTGAGCTCTCTCGCCACGTCAAACCGACAAGTAACCCCCCCACAGAACCCCCCGCCGCGCTTGGTGTGTGGCGCTCCAATCTTCCGGCG